CCTTTTGAATTATCATAGGTTTATATTAAGCCCCAAAAGGTTAAAGGTTACCTACTCAGCCCCCTAAGATAAGGCTTCTGTAGGGTTCAGCATTTAAGGAAGAGTTTCACGAACGGGCAGTTGGGCCCCAAGGCACCAGACTTTTCGCATGCGCTGATGGCCGCATTGGAGCTTATCCTTAGTCTGGAGAACCGAAAGAAGTTTATGCCTCTTGAAGGATCACCTTGAGGGATTTCTTGACGGGCTCTTTTGTATGGTTGATCCGTGGTTCATGGGTTGACATTCTGGACGACTCTAACTAGTGCATGCTTAAAGCCCAACTACGTCGCGTTTCGACATCTTCCGGTGCCGCCCACGAATCTCGAAAGACTCTAGAGGGTGCTTATCCCATTGGCCATTGTAGAGTTAACTGGGCTCCCAGAACACGTTAGATTGTTTAGGGTTTAGGGTTTAATTAAGGTTTATTGCAAAGGATCTCGTTCTTTTGGACCATCGCCGCGGCCATGTCGGAAAAGAGAATCTGGAGGGCCACCTGCCACTGAAGACCTTTCTCGCAGGCACCTTGGCCACACCACGATCTCTACTATATAACCACTGCTCCAAAACTGGTTGAGGGTTTAGGGTTAAAGGGATCGTATACCGACAGGTTCAACAAAGTGCTCACTTCCAGAAGCTAAGGCGCTGATGGCAGAACCTTAGTTGCCCAGTTCCGCTTGCCCCCCAAACAACTACCCTCACCATGTACCCAAATAGTATATACTTCGGCTTTAAAGTAGTCCCTATATGGGTACTTTGGGGCCAAAGTATATACTATTTGGGTACATGGACCCTTAGGGCTATCAACTTTCGGGTTCAAGGGCGTGTATTTTTTTGTATGCGTATTGCAAATTCAGTAAACCCGAAACCTGCCCTGATTTTTGCATAAAATCTGTAAACCGAAAGAGGTCTTCAAGGTAGGGAGCTGAAACTGATCAAGTCCGGGCTGATTCGAAATGTTGGCATCGCCGTGAGCAGCCAAAGAGCCCAAATCCACTTCCCAACCTCGGGCACCCGCAAAACCGCGCAAAGAAAGGCTTCCATTATAGAGGTCCTTTTCAAGGGTTCGATAAGGAAGACTCATAGTCACACCTTTGAGGTCATAAAAGGGGTTCCTTTAAAGAGTTCTTGATCTGGAAGCCTGAATAAGTCAACCTCCTAAACCCTAAACCCTAAATCCTAAACCCCTAACCCCTAAACCCTAAATCCTAAACCCTAAAGCCTTAAACCCAAAGGCCCTAAACCCTAAACTCCAAAGCCCAAAACCCTAAAGCCGTACAAGGGGCATGAACCAAGAACCATAAACGCTCCTTCATGGCTTCTTTCATGGGTTCCTTAAGCTTAAAGTTTCCGTTAATAAGGGGTCCTTCAAAGGGATCACTATTTCAGGTTTCCGTAAGGTTTCCTAGATTTGGGATCTGGTAACGGGTTTCCAGTGTTCTGTCGGGAGATTTCCGGGCAAAGTAATCCTTAAGGTTGACATCTGGGGTAGTTTGAACATAGAGTACAGGGGCCCCAGTGATCTCCCGCAACTGTCTTTCAGAAAGCTCAAAAATTGCAGGAATACGTTTGGTCCCGGAAACCTTCTCGCATGCACTGATTGCAGCATTGAAGCTGATGCCGTCGGGGCTGACATCCGTGGAGGGCCTTCAACTTTCTCGAGCAACTCCGAAACCCTGAAACCCTAAACCCTGAAACCCTAAACCGCGGAGATCAAAACTTAAGCTTGCAGGTTAATCATATATTCCCGTTAGATTCCTTCTACACCAACGTAACATATATATATATACATATATATATATGCACATACATATGCATGGGAAATAATCAAAAAGCATATTATATATATATACACATGTGCATATATCAATAACAACACTATACTAGAATTTAGAACTCAGTTTCAACCTCTGCCGTTGGAGCTCTAACCCATAGACTCGCCGAGAATCACCTTCGTAAGAAACCCCGAAGCAACCCGGCGATGGGGACCTCACGAATTGGGTTTAGGGTTTAGGGGTTTAGGTTTTTGTTGTTTTTTTTTTTAAGGGCCTTTTCTGTTGCACCTGGCGTCGGAGCCCATCTTGGGCAGGCTAAGGGTTCAGGATTTAGGGTTTAGGGTTTAGGGACCTTACTAGTTGGAAAAGAGTGTTGGGAACATGTCTTGGCACCATCCCTCGGTAGATGTATACAGGGACTGTAAGGGAACGATAGGGCTTAGGGCTTAGGGTTTAGGGTGCTGATGATTTCGGCCTGTATATGGGAGTTTCCGAAAATAGCCTACCCTAATGTAGTACCCTAAATAGTAGGATCCTTATCATAAGGACCCCAAAATAAGGTACGCCTTATTTTCGGAAACTCCCATATTCTTGTGAGCCCAAGAGGCATCGAGTGGAACAGGCGGACGGCGAGCTGCCATTGCTCGCCTTTCCCACAGGCGCTGATGGCGGCATTGGCACCGATGCTGTCGGGAGAACACCGTGCCTAGGTTCGCCCTTTAAAGTCTCTCAACCATAATATTCGTGAATAAGATCCTCTTAAGCACAATAAGGAGAAGAGTATCAAGTATCAAGCAAACGCACGGCCCAGCTTGGTCCTAGGTGCAATGGGCATCTGCGTGAGTAGATAGACTGCGTGCTCCCAACATCCCAACGGCTCACAAGCGCTGATGGCAGCATTGAAGCTAATCTCATTCCGCTGCAGGGAAATGGCCGGCATTACCTCCAGAAGAAAGTGCAGCGCCATCTGCCACTCCAGACCCTTCCCACCTTAACTGTACTGTACCCTGCCAGCTTCAGGAAGCTGACAAACAAAACAACATCGTATGACCCTCGGGTGCTCAAAAAAAGCCTCCAGCAACAACCATGCCACAAGCGACGATGACGGAGCTACAGCTGACCTCATCTGGTACCAGCTTCAAAGACGGAATCTGCCAAAACCACCTCGGATTGAAACCCTTGGCTTAGGGGCTTTCCTAGACCCCTCAACTACCCTCTAATATACCTTATATAAGTTTTAAGTACCCACTATTAAGGACCATAAGGGCTCTATTAAAGGGCAGTTGGGGGGTCCTCATAGGGTTTAGGATTCGGGTTTAGGGAATTTCATTGTCTCTTCTCCTAGACAAGACACTGCCCCTGTATCCACCAAAGACAAAGCTAGATTGAACAACCGAACGGTTTAGGGTTTGGGGCTCCAAGACAAAAGAAAACCCTAAACCCTAAACCTCACAACAAGGATGTGCCCACGAAGAAAACAACAAACACATATGAACCAAAACAAGACAATAACACTCATCAGTAGCGAATATACATACTAAGAATGAGAATAACACTACGTTATGCTGCTCTTTAACTCTAAACCCTAAATTCATCAAAAAATCAACTCTTGCTATCATAAGCAAACCCCTAAACCCTCAACTCGGAAAACCTCTAAACCCTTATAGCACCCTTATAGAACCCTTGACCCTACACCCCTTGTGGCCCCTTATAGTACCTTATAGATCCCTCATAGAACCCTCAAAAAACCCTAAACCCTAAACTCGTTAAACGAACCTTACTATAGGGGTCTAAATCATTACCTATACTATTTTGGGGGCTCCTTATTATAACTATGGTATATTGGGCCCCAAAACCCTATTCTAATCGTTAAGGCCCCTATATTACAGAACCCTTATAGTAGCCCATATAGAACCCGTTAAAGGAGCCCTTTAAAGGAACCCTATATTACCTTTTTGGGTTGTGGTTTCTTTTGGAACCTTAGGCGACCAGGGAGCTCCAGAGCCCTTGGCCACTCGCTTGCCACCCCCTGCGCGCTGAGGCCCGCGTTGCGGCCGATGATGTCCCGCTCCAGCCCTGCCTCTTTACGGTTTAGGGTTCTAGGGGTGTAGAGTTTAGGGTTTAGGGGTTTAGGGTTTACAGGGTCTAGGGCTTACATAGGGCTTTGATCCATATATAGTAGAGGGTTTAGGGAGTTTAGGGGTTTAGGGTTGAGGGTCTAGGGCTTAGGGTCTCGATCCATATAGTAGGGTTACTCTGCGGGCTTTGTTTAGGGCTTCCACTGAAGGCAAGCTTAACTCTTAAGGGATCTACCAAGGCTGCTATAAGGAGTTTATAGGCTTCAGGGATCTAGGACATAGAGGCCGGTGACCAGAACAATCTTGGCGACACCGGATATCCTCCTACCAAAATTGATGGTCGCAGTAACTATGATAAGAAAAAATGCAGGCCTGATTCCCCAAGCCTCAAGCCCGCGGTAAGCCACATGACACTCTCCCTAGCTAGCCCAAAAAACTTAATATTTAAAACTCGCATGAACCACCCGAGGCAACAAAGCTGTGCTTGTTGCTTGCTGCTTGGGTGTTGTCTTCTCTCACAATTTCAGTTCACAAAACAAACAAGACAACACAAACACCACTGTGCCTCAGAAATCTGCGAGACGAGTCGAAGTGCCCGGTGCCAGAGTAGGCCTGGCAGGGACCCAGCGGCGTCGTAAGGCAAAGCTTCCAAGTACCAATCTTCAAGCTTCTTCTACCCCAAGATCAACGGAGGGCCTTCACCACACAGGTTCACAAGGGCGTTGAACGTTACCAAATCCGCTGTCACGCCTGCCTTCGGCATACCGCGGAATAGCTGAAGTGCTGCAATCCATTGCAGGTTCTCTCGGCAGGCAGCAATACCAACATTGAAGCCTTGCAGCACATGAGCATCCTTTTACGAGTTTATTCTACTTCAGTCGTCTAAACATAACACTACCTGGATCCTAAAAGTATGTAGAATAATAGCCTTTTCTGGGTTTTGGGCCGTTATTTCACCTACTTTTGGGTGTTAAGGTATCTCCATTCTTTTAAACGAAGTCCAGAAACTGATCTCACTTTAAACGAAGTCCAGAAACTGATCTCATCAGCTGTCGGAATCGTAGAAAGCAGCTCAGTCACTGCTTCCCACCGCTGGGCCCGTTCGCATGCGCTCATGGCTGCGGTACCGCTCATCTTACTGAGGGACACTTGATGTCGAGGCATGTGAGACAGGAGCCCCATCGCCAACTGCCAGTGTCCACTTCGGTCACTTGCACTGATGGCGGAAGTGAAACTGATCTCGTTTGGTTTGGCTGCTTCGGCCGCCATGTAGGCCAGCAGCTGCAGCACCGTCTGCCACTGCCCGTGTCTTTCAGCAACGTTCATGAGGGCATTGCAGCTGACAGTATCAGGTAAGATGTCGTGTGACAGCATCTCGGAAAAGATCTGGGCAGCCACCATCCATGCACCCAGACTTGCTGTAATAGCTGCTGTGAAGCTGTAGATGCTCGGAACGAGCCGCAGCATCAGCATCGTGGCCAAAGCTTCAACACACGCCTGCCATCAGGTCTCAGTGCTGTTCAGGGATGCGTAAGTAAGCTGAAACAAGGTCTTATGGTTGGTCTTGCTCTAATTCTCATTTGGGGACGGACTAAGTCACTAAGAAAGAGCACACGGAGTTCGAAATCGATGGCGGGAGCTTCGTGTGGACTGTGGGGTTCTTGATCAGCTGAGCCCTCACATCGCACGAGGGGACAATTCTGAAAAAGTCGATGCTGCCTATCACTATGCTAGGCCAAAAACCCATGAACCCTAAACTCCTAAGGCCTAAAATCTATACCCGTAAAAGTCCTGATCCTTGATAGCCTGCCCGAAAACCGTGCAAATAATGCAGCCACATTTCTTCGTGAAGGCTTGGGAAATACAAACACGCGCACACACACACACACGCGCGTGTGCATATGCAAATATATGCATACATACACCCCTGTAACCTTCATAAGCGATCCTGTACAGCAAGCTTTGGAGAAACCTCGCACCCAGGATCCCTACACATTTGAACCGCCGTTTCCACGACCCCCGTTGTGATCCAACAGAAGGAGTAGAATATAATTACCCTTAATATTCTGTAGTACTTCTTATAAGATTTGGAAGGTCTGAGCTTAAACGAATTTGGTTCCATCGAATATAAACGAAACACAGCTCCTAAGAGCACGAAAGGAATCGGGTGGCTGCCTGCCATTCTCTGGCCTTCCCACGCGTCCGGATGATCCCGGCGAGTGCCAGCTCACCCTCCCGTCGCGTCATGGCTCCCATGCAATCTGCAAAAGCCGCGAATCCAGAAAGCCTATTAGGGTTTAGGGTTTTGGGTTTTGGGGTTAGGGTTTAGGGTTTTGGGTTTTGGGGTTTAGGGTTTTGGGGTTTTGGGTTTTGGGGTTTAGGGTTTAGGGTTTTGGGGCTAACCAAGCGATTCAGAAGTGCTCACAGCTTGACGCAGGGTAACTAGCATCATTTGATTCTTGCTGTTGGCTTGAGTCTGAGATCGTTTCCATGCTTGGCGGGGCGTTGGAAAACCCCAAGCTCTTAAAACCCAGCATTGTTAAGAGCCTATAAAACAGATGCATAATTTAAGACGCCCCTGAAAATGACATTTGGGAGGGGGGGGAGGTTATTGTGAGCCCGAAGCCCAAAACCCAAAGCCTGAACCCGAAGCAAGATCCGACCTTCGGTTCTGGACCTGTGAGAGGTATGCGCCTTCAGCCTGGACCCTATACTACTTGGACTTCATCAAGGGTATCTGCAAGATAAAGCTGTAGGCCTAAACCCTAAAACCTAAACCCACAAACCTAAAATAAACCCCCAAACCCCCAACCCCAAACCGCAAGCCCTAAACCCTAAACCCCAAAACTCTAAACCCTAAACCTCAAACCCTAAACCCAAAACCCCAAAAACTCTAAACCCGAAGCCCCAAACCCCAGAACTCTGAACCCTTATTAGGGCCTTAGAAGGATGAAGGGGCCTGCAGGGCTTCAAGTTGAGACATTTTTTAGGTTGTTTTAGGGTTTAGGGCTTAGGGTTTAGGGTTTAGGGCTTAGGGTTTAGGGTTTAGGGTTCAGGGCTTCGGGTTGAGACATTTTTGGGTTGTTTTAGGGTTTAGGGCTTAGGGTTTAGGGTTTAGGGCTTAGGGTTTAGGGTTTAGGGTTCAGGGCTTCGGGTTGAGACATTTTTGGGTTGTTTTAGGGTGGCAGTTAGGATTAGGGGGACCCTTTGGGGATATAGACCCTCTCAATAAGGTCCCGTTTAAGAGAGCCACAAGTAGGGTTCAGAAGGCTCCCCTGTAAGGGGTCTCCCTAATACTACCTAGGATACGGGAGTGTGAGACTGTTTGGGGTCTCTATTCGTTCAGGGCTTAGGGTTTAGGGGAGTTTGAGACGGGTTGAGGGGGATTCCTTCAAAGGTTTAGGGTTTAGGGTTTAGGGGTTTAGGGGATTAGGGGTTTAGGAGTTTAAGTAAGTAGGGTTTAGCGGGTTAGGGGTTAGGGTTGGTTTCCTGTGGCCCCAAGCCTAAAGCCCCAAGGCAGGACAGCACACCCACCACCCCCGACCCTGGCAAATCTGCCGGAAACCCAAACTGCACCAACATCAGCAACACAGCACCACAGCAGAACACCCGAAGTAGATTGAGGCAGCCGGCAAAACAGTGGAAGCTGAACTTGCAACTAAGACCTGCGACTCATGGACTTGTTGAGTTTCACAATTCAGGTAGACAGCTGTTAAAAGTTGGCTTTGGTTCTGAAGCCCCGGAACCCTAAGCCCAAAATCCTAAACTCCTAAACCCTAAACCCCTAAACCCTAAGCCCAAAACCCTAAACTTTAGGCCTCTGTAGACTTGAAACTGATTTCCATACCTGCGAGCCTCAGTAACAGAAACTCCGTTGGGTATATATATATATATTCTTTTTCATTTGTCTATTTGTTTATATATATATCTATCTATACTTATTTATTCATATATGTGTGTGGTTAGGGTTTGGTTAAGGCTTAAGGGGTTTAGGGTTTAGGGCTTAGGGCGCATGCAGGTCTATGGGTGGGTGTGTATATGTATGTCGCATTGAATGTACATGTCTGTCCTGTCCTGTCTGTCTGTCTGTCGACACGTCCCAGTAATCTGAATCACCGTCTAAAGAGTGGCCCTACTTTTACCTTCTAAGCTAAGCCCTAAACCTCTAAAACTTTCTTCAACACCAAACCCCTGACCCGAAAACCCTGCACAAAACCACATCAACCCCTGCACTCTTGTAGCCGAACCTCGGAAGGAAGCAACCCTCACGCCCCACCTCAGAAAACCCGATACTCCTTTGTTGAGGAAGTGCCTCAAAATATAGGCGCCGCAATATTATGACTTAAGGTATCTTTCTGGCTCTCTGGGTAATTACATTGGATGTCGGCTGCGGCCTGCCATTCTCTGACTTTCCCGCACGTCCTGATGACTCGTCCGAGTGCTACCTCATCCTCCCTCCACACCATGGCTCCCAGGGGGTTTAGGGTTTAGGGACCGAGCAGTACGGTAACCACGGTCCTTTATACGGGGGCTCTAGGGGAAGGTCCAATACCAAGGGAATCGTTGGCAATGGTAGCCACGAGTCCCTTGGTTTGAAATACTTCAGGTAAGGGTTTAGGGTTTAGGATACCTCAGGCAATGAAGGATTTGGTCCATTAGCGGTTGGAAGGGGCGGATGAGCAGCTCGACAGGAGTTTGAAGGCGAAAACATATGTCAAGAACATCTCTGGACCTTTTCCGATCACAGGCATATAGGTAAATACCAGCCTTGGTGACGCAAGAGCTGTACCCAAAAACCTACCTGCGTAGGGGCGAACAAGAGGCACGCAAACATACTGCTGATGGACGAGGTCCTGCAACAGCCATAATGAGGGATAGTTCTCATAGCTTAGAGACGCTTGCAGTGAGTTAACACTGTATTTCGTCCATCAAGATATCTGCAATCTGTGGCTCGTTTTCTAAATCGAGGTCCCTTTCAAAGTCCTTTTCATGCGGGTGTCGTACTATTTCGTTGGACCTAAACAGGACCCTCCCTAAACCCTAAACCCTAAACTCTAAACCCAAAACGGTAGAGATCTACCCATGTAGGGAAGCTCGAACTCCTGAAACGGGCTGAAGGACCCCGAGGGGTCGGCTTCGGGGGCTTGCTAAGGTCGGAATTAGTAACAGTGTAGGGTTTAGGGTTTAGGG